TTTTAGCTAAAATATGATACAAAAAAATTAATATATTTGGAATGATTTTTTAATTTTTTATGAAAAAATGTGCAAAAAGTAGAGAGAAAATATAATATTTGACTTTCTTGTATAAGTTGTTGACTTTTTGATTTTTTTTAAAAAAAATTGACTTTTAAGCTAAAAAGTGATATTGCCAAACGGGACTTAAGTGTTGGGTTGGCAAGTGAGTTTGGCCTAATTAATTTATTAAAAGACAAAATAAATTAAAAAATTAATAAAATAAATTGACACATATAAATCATAATTATTTACATTGTGTCATCTCGGCTGGAACCTCGGAGTTGAACAAATCATCAACTCGCCAGCCGGAGTAAAACATCTCGGCTGGAACCTGGCAGTTGAGCAAATCATCAACTCGCCAGCTGGAATAAAACATCTCAGCTGGAATCTCGGAGTTGAACAAATCATCAACTCGCCAGCCGGAGTAAATCATCTCGGCTGGACCCTCGGAGTTGAGCAAATCATCAACCCGTCAGCCGGAGTAAATCATCTCAGCTGGAACCTCGGAGTTGAACAAATCATCAACTTGCCAGCCGAAGTAAAACATCTCGGCTGGAACCTTGCAGTTGAGCAAATCATCAACTCGCCAGCTGGAATAAAACATCTCAGCTGGAATCTCGGAGTTGAACAAATCATCAACTCGCCAGCCAGAGTAAAACATCTCGGCTGGAACCTCGCAATTGAGCAAATCATCAACTCTTCAGCCGAAGTAAAACATCTCGGCTGGAACCTCGGAGTTGAACAAATCATCAACTTGCCAGCCGGAGTAAATCATCTCAGCTGGAACCTCGGAGTTGAACAAATCATTAACTCGCCAGCAGGAGTAAAACATCTCGACTGGAACCTCGCAGTTGAGCAAATCATCAACTCGCCAGCCGGAGTAAAACATCTCGGCTAGAACCTCGCAGTTGAGCAAATCATCAACTCTTCCGCCGGAGTAAAACATCTCGGCTGGAACCTCGCATATGAGCAAATCATCAACTCGCCAACCGGAGTAAAACATCTCGGCTGGAACCTCGCAGTTGAGCAAATCATCAACTCTTCAGCCGGAGTAAATCATCTCAGCTGGAACCTCGCAGTTGAGCAAATCATCAACCCTTCAGCCGGAGTAAATCATCTCGGCTAGAACCTCGCACTTGAGCAAATCATCAACTCTTCAACCGGAGTAAATCATCTCGGCTGGAACCTCGCAGTCGAGCAAATCATCAACTCTTCAGCCGGAATAAATCATCTCGGCTGGAACCTCGCAGTTGAGCAAATCATCAACCCTTCAGCCGGAGTAAATCATCTCGGCTGGAACCTCGCAGTTGAGCAAATCATCAACTCTTCAGCCGGAGTAAATCATCTCGGCTGGACTCTCGGAGTTGAGCAAAACATCAACCCGTCAGCCGGAGTAAATCATCTCGGCTGGACCCTCAGAGTTGAGTAAATCATCAACCCGTCAGCTGGAGTAAATCATCTCGGTTGGAACTGAAGAGTAGGCCCCTCATCCACTATTATTTCGGACACAACAAAGCTCTTCAGCAAAAGTAATTCACTTCTATTACATTGACAAAATGAGTATTTGCATTCAGAAGTGTAGGGGAAACAAGTCCCTCAAAAAATTACATAAGGTCGCATTCCATGGCCGGGGTACACCTTTGCCATCCAAATCCTCTAAGTGGTATGCCCCCTTGCCCGGTTATCTTCTAAGGCTCTTCCTAGTTTGCCCCTAGCTTGCCTTCACCCGGCACTAGTGCGTTGCCCATGACCTTCCTTAAAACCCAGTCGCCCACTTGCCCGTTGCCATCGAGGTTGTCTCCGCGGTGGACATCGCTGCATCATCCTCTACTCGGATGTGCTCATTGATGCGCTGCATTAGGTGCCACATGGATGTCTGCTGGCTCATTGTAAGCGAATCCCTCAGCCTATGTCCGAGCGGGAGACCGCGCTTATATTGGGTGATTGCCAGGTTGACCGGGCAATCTAGGATCTCATTGAAGGTATCCCAGTACCTGGAGTTGTACGCCTTGAGAGTGTCGCTCGGTTCCATCCTGACACTGAGAAGGTGGTCAACTTCCTTTGGCGTTTTGGTGTTGGTTTTGAAACGTGTCACAAAGGCTTCCGCCAACTGCTGCCACCTTTCTATGCTCCCCTCCCCTCCGGCAACCTCTCAAACCATTTCAAGCCCAGCTCGCCCAAACTTGACGGGAAGATGAGGCACATAAGAGCGTCATTTCGCCTACGTCCGGCCATGACCTGTCGGAAGTGGCTTACATGCATATACGGATCTGTCTTTCCGTCATAAAGCGTGAACTTTGGCTAGTGGAAGCCCACGGAAAGCGGTGTTGTTTCTATCTCCAGGGAGAAAGGGGTGGCGCTTAGCCTCGCCAAGTCTGTATCTACAAGGAGTGGCGCCGTTAGGCGAGGTGGGGGCATTCCGACCACCTCGTTGGCATGAACCCTGTAGGATAGCCGCTGGAACGCCGGCACCCTTTAAGCCTCCCGCCGGCGAGCCCGTTCCTTCAAGACTGCCCGCAAGTCCTCTGAACGAGCGGAATAGGAATATCTCGACGTCGTCACCGGACGTGAGGGCTGGTAAGTGCTATCTTTCGCGCTGGACTTCTCTGTACGCACATCAGAATCACCAACCTTGTAACTTCTGGTAATAGAAATGGACGGAGTATGCCGCTAACTCTGACTACCTGAACGGCAGGATGGGGTGCACTCTCCGTGGTCTACCACTCCATCTACACCCTTCCCCTTGACATGCCGCTTCAACTCCTCCATCTCCGCCGCCATTCGTCGGATGACAGCGTCTTGGTCCCTTAACTTGTGTTCCAGACGTCGGGCATTGATTCTCTCCGCCGCCGATGACCGTCTGGACTTCGTGAATGACCATAACTTCTTCCGCGCTTATCCCGCGCGTCTCCTGACTGTCCTCCAGTGAACGTATCCAAGTTCGCCATTGGAAGGATGGCAGGATGTCCTTCTCTCCGTTGGGTGAACTCCAGGGTAGCTCCATCGATGGCGGACAACGGAATCTCGTCGTTGTTCACCATGGACGGCGATCAGATGAGCCTGGAAGACAAGGTTTTATCTGTCAAGCTTCAAACAGACGGCGCCAATTGTACGGGGAGCTAATATTCCGGCAAGCCCGTACTCCTTTCTTCCGAGCTCTGTTTCTGTCCGATCACCCGCGAGCAAGTAACGGTGAGCTACCCGGCGGTGTGTGGCCGGAAAACCCCTCCGACGATCAACTTAGGACACACACAGAGGATAGATAGAGAGAATGGAGAGTGTTTGAGTGTAAGAATTTCCTTACAAAAATGTTCCTGTCCGCGTATGGAGGGCGCAGACGTGCTTATATACCTTCTGCGCCCCAAATCTACTCCCAGTGACCTCTCAACACGTGGCACTACTATTCCATCTGTCAGCATAAACCTTGCTAAGCACCACCTAACCCAACTGCCTGCCCATTCTCCTGGGAGCTCGGCAGCCGGGCAATTCCATCTCGGCCATCGTCTGCCATGCTGCGCTTCATGCCCAAGTACTCCAACAGCTAAGCTTAGATGAGGACCGGACTCGGCGGCATCTCGGCAAAGCCGAGCTCGGGACTACTTACGCTTGTCTGCGGTCGACCTACCTGCCGAGCAAACAGGTACCTCGGTCCAACCTTGCCTTTCCTGGTGCTGGACTTTTCACCTGACTGGCTTCGTAATCACGGATCCTTGCAGCTCGGTCAATCAACGCGCTGCCTTAACCGAGCAGCTTCCTTCAAGGCCAGGCCACACAACTTGGCCCAACACCTGCCTGGCCCAAATCTGTTCGGCCCAACTCTGTCCGGCCCAAATCTGTCCGGCACAAATTCCATATCATTAATCTCCCTCTCAGCTACATAAAATTTTTCTATTACAAAACACATTAGTTTATAAAGATGATGTATATAGTTTGTAAAGATGATGTCTATGTTGTCTTCGGGTTTCCATAGCGTTTACTCATTAACATTTCTTTCGGCCTCTACGCTTACAAAACCCCTCTCTGACCAACTCCATTTCACATCAAAACATTAAAAAACTCCAATTTAAATCAAACACGTTTTTGCATATGACTTATTATTCCAATACTAATTTTACTTATTCAAACAAAATACTTATAACATCCAAAAAATAATAATGTATAATTCAAACTAAACTCTTTTATAGTAATTGAGAAGTTGATTTTCAAGCTAAAAATATAAGTTAAATAAAAAAATAAAATAAAATAAGTTAAAAAGTTGAAAATTCAACACAAAAACTTGTGTTTGCCGTAGATCGGCAAAGGTTGTCGAGTATTAGTGTAAAATAATAATATGTTCTCTAAATTTTGTACCAAGGGCAAAAGAACATTTAAGGAAAAAAATAAGTAACACAAGTTAGTGAATCATATTTTTTCACACAATTAAAAAGTTATTATAAAAATTATCCCTAAACATTTTTAAGGTAGTGTTTGATTTACGAGAATGAAGTGTAATGGAATGATCATTCCATAAAAAATATCTATTCTCATATTTGGTTGACTACAAATAATATAAAAAATATATTACAAATGAAATCGTAATTCACTATTATCAAGAATGAGCATTCTATTAGGGAGAGTAAGAAATAAATATTTCATTTCATTTCATTTTATCTCATTTTAATAAACCAAATAAATATTTTACATCGTAAAAATAATCAAAAAAACCACTATAAAAAATTCCCAAATTACATCTTAAATCTAAAACATGTACTAGTTTTTTGGGTAAAATTTTAATTATTTGATGATTATTTTGTTATTTCAAAGCATGACCTTTGAATTGGTGCGATTGTTTCAGATGTGCTTCTACTATGTCAACGTCCATATTGTACATATATACACACATATAAATACATACCCATACATATGAGGAAGTTTTCATCAAAGAGTACTTTTATACAGCAAAAACACAAGTTGAACAAATGAGAACCAAAGCAAACAACAAAAGCAGGTTGATGAGATTCATTACACTGCCCATTCAGGCTCTGAGAAAAGCTAGGGACTTGTATGTCCGAACTATTACAGACTGTGCTGGAACTGGAAGAAGGGTCAGTTATGCCAGGTCCACGGGTGTTCCTTCTGGGCAATTCTCTTCCTTACCAAAGAGCTTCAGTGTTGTTAGCTCATCGAGGCCCAACAATGACGCTGAGGATCTCAGAGAGCTCATCAGAGCTGCCTCCGCCAGGAGTTTGGGCAATAGGGTTGACATGGAATTGTACATGCAACACCAGATCTTGACAAGGTCAACTGCGGTGGCGGGCAGCGGGGTGCGGAGGAGACGCAGTTTTGGTTTGAGTAGGATCGATGAAGATAGCCCTTGTGATTAATATTGCCTTGCAAGTTGTAAATTTTACGGCACATTCTGACTCATTTTATTAGGTAATTAGTAAACAATGGATAATCCACTCTTAAGTACCATGTACCAAAGTAGTTGTCTCTTCCGTGATGTTCTATTTCTTGTTTCCTCATATGAAAGGTGGTTGTTAATACAAAATGTGAATTGCAATTTTGGAAAAATGTTTTTTTTCTCTTTAATTTTGAAATTTTTTTGGCAAAATTACAACTAGGATGCCCATACTTTTTATATTTATATTTTTTATTTTTGTACCGTGCTTTGTTAATTGGATCCCAATAAATTCAATCATGTCAACTTTGTCTTTTAGCTCTTCCATTTGGGTCAAGTTAGTGTAACGGATAAGGGATGTTAAACTTTTGGATAATAATACTTTGTTTCTTTTATATTTGGTTACTTTTTCATTTTGATCCTTAGGTTATATTTGTTTAGCGGATTAGATTGAATGATATTATAGTTGCCCAGGTTAAGACCCGACCCTTTTATACCCTTTGATTTGAAATCTGGTATCTATTATTGTTGTTGTTTAAACACCTTTTAGTCTTGTTGTTGGTTAAGAGTGGATGTTTGAATTGTTGGGTTATGATTTGAATAGGTTGGGAGTTAGCATTTCAAAGGAAATTATGTCAGTTTATTCTTTAGTTCGCTCGAGCGGTCTTTTGTTTCTCCTGAAATTTGTGTTTGCATTCTGAGCTTTTAGTAGTATGGTATTCTTCGCTCGAGCAGTCTCCTTGCAGATCTGAACTTCTAATAGAGGGTTATTCTTTGCTCAAGCGATGGTTAGTTCGCTCAAGCGATCTATTCTGCAGGATTAGTGTTCTGAAAGTTTGGTTTTTTCGCTCGAGCTATGGTTTTGTCACTCGAGTAGTGTTCTATGTCTGACACTCAAGTGATGGTTTGGTCGCTCGAGCGGCCTGTTAGTATAAAGCTGCAGGGAAAAGATCTATTTATCACTTTTATGATCTCTCTCTCTCTCTCTCTCTCTCTAGTTCTTGCATAAATCTCACTCTATACTCTAATTCATAAGTCTCGTGGTATATGTGCTCTGGGATAAAAGGTAGAGCACGAGAAGGTGATAAGGTGATCATTTTGATTTGGAAAAGTACAAGTTTTGTCTTCGTTAATTTTGGAAGTGTTCTTCCATTCTCTTCCTACTTTTGAAGTAAGGATTTCTTTAACATTTCTACATGATTTTTAGCCTTGTTATGTATTCTTGAATAGAGTAGTGTTTTTGGTTGAATTAGGTCAAATTTTAGTTTGGTTTGGAATGGGATTTGAGTCATAAAAGAGAGGTTTTTTTTGAAAATTTTACTATAATGGTTTTTGGCATTGAGAAATTGGGAAATTGCTTTTAAAGTGTGAAATGTTAAAAAGAATATCTGTTTGTGGGCATTTGGAAATCCTTTGGTATCCTTGGTGTTAACCAAGGATAAGAGAATGGTTGAGATTTGAAATGATATTGTGATAACATCTATTGGGTTGGAAAGTGGAGTTGAACATGTATTGTTTCCAAGTATTGAAATTTTATATTTAAACCTATCTCTTGAATTCATTTCTTGTATAGATATATCTGTTTTGGGCTATCGATGGAGGATAACTTTGATTATTATAGAAATCGCATGAGGATTTGGTTAATTAAAACCATTCACTCATACATTTGAACATTGTTTCATCTTCATACATTAAAAATGTATTGTTTTGAGAACAATTGGTGAATATCTTAGTAAATCTGGTTAGGGGGTGTAGTTGTAGTTATATCTATGTTGTCCTGTGTGTCCTTGGTAAAAGTCTAAAAACTCATGCAGTTAGGTACCGATCCTTCCAGTTAGTACTAGTAAAATAGCTTTGGTAGTGCTAGAATAGCGTATTGACAAACACGTACCTAGAGATTCCTATTGTTATATATCCACTGCCCTGTTTTTTATTTTAAGAAGTATCAGTTTATGAATTGATCTATAAACATGGCATTGCATTATTTGAAAGAGAAAAATGTAACGTTTTAGTAAATGGCATTCATGTGCATTCATTATATAACTTTGTTAAGCATTATACAGTATATTAAAGTAATCTCTACTAAGTTTTAGCTCACCTTATCAGGAAACTAACTTTCAAGTGCTGATGATATACCTTCACCAAGGACTTAGCTTGGGAGGATCTCAGAGCTGAAGGCTCATTTATTTTGTGTTTGTAAATATATTTTGTACAAGTTTGGGGCTTTTATATGTATTGGGCTTGACCCATTTTTTTTATAACCAAATATCGTCTTAGAAATATGTAGTCATTACGGTATGAACTTTTCTTTTTTCTTTTCATTTCTATATATTCATCTGTTACATGCTATAGATTCATAATTTAGGATTAATGAACGTATTAATACATGTGACATCAATCTTGTAATACTTCATAGAATCAATGAAATGGAAGATACTCTAAGAAACGCTTACAAAGTTGTATGATTTAAAGATTTATGTTAATAGCTTCTGCATATATTGAGAGTAATGAGTGTCTGCTGTTTATAATTTGGAGGCATTACATCACGTCCTCTCTCTCTCTCTCTCTCTACATTTATTGGATTATTTTGCATTACAAGATGAAATGTATTAATTTATTAGATTAATTAATTATTGAATTATTGAAATTGATCTATTCATTTTCTTAAAATCCTTGAATGTTAAAACTGTTCTTTTGGTGCTTTAGTTACTAACCAATTGTGTGATAGAGACATTTTCAAAATTATTATATTTTATTATGTACACTAGAATAGTTAAAAGTTCTGTTGTTTTGTAAGTTTGTCAATGTGCTTTAGTGTTCTGTAATGGCCTATGAATACAGTGGGCTTAGTTGTGCTATATGTGGTAGGAATATGAGATAATGTGATATTTTGGTTCATTTGACATCTTGGATTCTCGACATTCACTTAACGGCTTTGTAGTGCTCTCAATTTTGTTTTCATACCTTCATTAGAGAGTTTGAATGTGGTACAAGTTATTGTTTAGGTGTGCAATTAATTAATTCGGCAATGATAATTAATTTTGCGAGCAATGTCCAATTTAGGAATGTCATTTTTTGTTTGATTACAATTACATACTATCTTAAATTTTATACTCCCATTTTGCCATTTTCAATTTTTCAAATTGTTAAAAGGTTAAAAAGAGTTGTATTTTTACATTTCACTGTTGTTAAAATGTTAATATTGCTAATTTGTATAAGTTATAACTTTTATAATTATAAATATTAGAGAGCTATTATATATCACCAAAATATTATACTAGAACCATTAACTTCTTATGTTGTTTTCTATTTAGCTTGATTAGTTTTATTATTTATTAAGTAATATGGATCCTACACATATACATGACTTTGATTGTATCAATATAGTTAAGAAGTGAAACAAAGTGGTGAAAAAAATAGTGATGAATAGAATTTCTCTAAACTTTATATTTGAATATTGCTTTTAAATTGAATTATTTAGTGTGTATTAGTGAAATATATAATTGTTAAATTATTGAAATTTTTATATATTTATTTTTAAATTTTGCATTATGATTGTGGAGCGTTGTTTGCGTTGAGAGTGCCTTTATTAATATATATATATATATATAATATTCAAAGTGATTTAATAATTATTAGGGGACTTACACGTAGGTTCTAATAGGTGGATTTGTTGCCTAATAGGTCATGTGATAATTAATAACATTTTTCATCAAACACTACTAAAAAATGTCACTAATTATTAATTTTCAACGATAATTTAAAAAAATTGTCACAAAAAAGTCACAAATTATAAGTTTTAATGACATTTTAAAGAAATCGTCACAAAAAAAATCTTACGAATTTTCAATTTTGACGACAATTTAAAAAATTCGTCACAAAAAAATTACACTAATTTTAAGTTTTAATGACAATTTATAAAAATAACAACAAAAAATCACTAATTATTAATTTTTAATAATACATACAAAAAATTATCACAAAAAAAATATTTTTACCAATAGTGTTGTTAAGATTGACTTTTAATAAAATTTAATAAAAATTAAACTTAACTATTTGAACCTATTAATAATTACTGTAATTATAATGGCGTTGGAGGGGAAAGGAAACATATCCACTTTCTTTCTTGTCAGGTTGGGGAAAACCCGCTCGAGACAATCAAGAGATGTAGGGCCAAGGGAGGAGATATTGTCATCCCTGCACCACACCATCTGCTTTATCCTTACATTATCTCATAATAAACATATCCACTTCCATATTAAAAATTATATAATAGAAAATATCATATTTATCCTTTCGCTCTCTTCATTTATCACAAAGGCTATGTTTGGAATAATTTTTTTTAATTATTTTAGTCACAAAAAAATAAAATAAATTAAAAAATTAATAAGATAAAATGTCACATTCAAGTCATAATTATTTCATTTTTTCTCTCACAAAAGTAAAAAAAAAAGTCAAAAATTTCATCACAAACAAAACTTTTTAACCTCAGACTAAAATAATTAAAAAGTTAAAAAACTAACCCACAACCCAAACGAAGGCAAAGTCACCCTCGCACTCTCTCCATTTTTGTTTCTCTCCATCTGAATTTTTATTTATTTATTTATTGACAAAAACAAATATATTGATGTAAAAGAGGTTCTAATGCATCCAACTTAAATTACATCAAAAAAACAAAAAATAATTGTGCTAAAAATTGCATTATAGTTAAGAAAAATGCACTTCAATTAGGTTGGCATATACATATTAGCAAATCATATGCAAATACTAATGTACCACCAAAACATTTTGACGAGATGCGGAAAAATAAATAAAAAATAAAAAATCTGTAGCCAAAATCCCAACTCCCTAAAGTAATATGGATCATGAAATCATTAACACTCATGTCAGAAATCAAAAGGGCATTCCATAATACTTTCTTGATATTGCTATAACTCTTATAAAATCAGGTACGAAATTAGTATTCATTTGTGGAGAGGTGAA